TTTAACGTGTTTAGTATATCATATGCTTAAACTCGCAAGTTAGGCTTAAAAAGTAATTTTTCTCGGTATATGTACTTATGGTTATATGAATATATCTGCAAATCATATTAACATGAAATAACCCTGTGTCAAGACCCTTGAAAAAATAGCACAATCATAATGATACATGGATAAGGGAGGTTTTGCAGATTAGATAGTAGGGTGTGAATGTAACATATGTTACATTTTCTTCCCATATTCTGAGATCCAACATGTTATATGTTTGTTTGGAAAATACCTTTATTATCTTTGTTCAGAGTGTAGGAGAGCTAAAGGTTTTCAAATTATATTAAAGATATTCACTAGGTTTTTATACTTTATTTTGTAACTGAGATCAGAGTTGCTTTATATTATCATATTCCAGCCTAAAGTTAGGCATAGCAGTGCCTTGATTATTTATAATGATAAGATGGTAGTTTCAGTTTTTTATTTGTCAGTTTTATTTGCCTAAAACAATTTCATAATAGACATAACCAAGCATAGTTTTATATTATGTGTATACTTGTATGCTTACATCCCTCCTGCCTTAAGCACATATGGTTAAGAATAAAAAAAAAACACTCCTACATTGTCTACCATCCTGATATAATGATAGAAGTCTCAATTCATAAACTAGATATATTAAGATAAATGACACAACATTTTTGAAATCCTCCTGGATTCCATCTTCAGGTCTGAGGATGGAGTCCAGGAGGATTTCAAAACTGTTGTCTCATTTACTTCAATAAATCTTGTTTGTACATTGTGGGTTTTTGTACCACATATGGTTGTATAAATGACAATTGCTTTTTTGGTCATCACTATTACTAGTATCATTTATGAAAATTAAGACTGTAACATAAAGTAAAGAATTGTTCCATCTGATTTTAACTATAGAATTTACAAAAAAAAGTTTGCAGTCATTAAGAAAGCAAAGAATACTGTCTGTTTTGTAGTTTCTCCCAGTACACTGTATCATCAATTGCTGTCTTGCAGAAGGGCAGAACACAACTACGCAGGGCGAAATATGGCGTCAAAGGAAGGAAAGGCTGGACCTGGGGATGAGAAGAGTAAAAATGGAGCTGATGGACCAAAGAAGGAAACGAGACTGGGCTTAGAAGTATCCAAGTCGGCAAATTTTTCTGACTGGTATTCTCAGGTATTTACTGTTATTGTTATTATTATTGTTATTTATGCAGTAGTGATCTGTATAGAAGAAATGAGTAATACATGTAAGGTAGTGTCTGAGAGGCTTGTAACATAATAAGAAATTTGTTATTCTTACTTATATAAGTAGATATAATGAAATTAATCCCTCTCATTTTTCTACATTAGAAATTTTGAAGAATCTGATATATCTTGCTTGTACTACATTAACATGGGAGTCAAAGAGACCATAAAACTAAATATCAATGGTTAACATATGTGTTATACATTATATATATTTATGTATAGGGTCATCTTTTCTAATACCATTGATATAGATTAATACCATTGAGTGTCTGCTAAGTTGAATTGTAGCATAGACTGTCCTCCTTCTTTTTCCATGACATTATTTTGATCTAAGTTTTTTTTATAATGTATGATAAGTGTTTCATAATCTTATATGTAAACCAATTCTTTCTTACAGTCAATATCATTACAAAATTTCATAGAGTAATGTTTGTGGTAGGTATATGTAGGATACAACAGAAACATTTTGACCACACAACTTGACTAACATTTATTTCTTACATTTATATTTAGGTCCTTACCAAAGGAGAGATGATTGAATATTATGATGTTTCTGGTTGCTACATCCTTCGTCCGTGGGCCTATGCCATCTGGGAAGAAATGCAGAGATTCTTGGATAGGGAAATAAAGAAGACGGGCGTGAAGAATTGTTATTTCCCCATGTTCGTGAGCCAGAGTGCCTTAGAAAAGGAGAAGGCTCATATTGAAGACTTTGCACCAGAGGTATGTATTACTATTTTTATTTTTATGTATTCATTTATTATTATTATTGTTTTTTTCTATTTATTTTCTTTTCTTTTCAAAGGATTGCTTAGGGTGTACCGACTTTTTAAGGTAGATGCACAGCTAAGAGATTCATTTATGTAAATTACATTTAGTTTTATAATGCCCTATCTCCTTCTTTCCATTCTTTTTCCTTTTATTCTTGCTTCTCTTCCTCTTCCTCTTCCATTCATTTTTTTCATATTCCTTTCTCCTCATATTCCCTCTTTTCTTCTTCACACATCTTTGCTTCCTCTTCTTTCCTCTCCTCTTTTAAATGATTTGCTTTTACAACAAGATGAAGCACTGGAAGATATGACGAAACAGTGAAGAAGTACGAATATTGGTGCGATTGACTATCTGCAAGCAGACATTTTGACTTGCAAGGCCAGGGAATCCACTCTTCCCTTCTTACAGCTGTAGAAGGTACACGGCCTCTCTAAGCAAAGCTACTACCATTATAGCAAAGTGTGCAATTTCGATGATAGAGCCTAGACTTCAGAATAAAGTGTCTGTAACTTCTTTAAGAACGATGACAACATTTACAATTTAGTTAGATCTTGCAAAACTACTACATAGCAATTTTATGTACAATATTTTACTAAAGTAAACTGATTACTAACTCAATTCAGCATTGAAATCTAGGCTCTTTCATCACTTTCATACCATTTGTTGTAAAGTCAACCCTTAAAAGTACAGTCTAGCTTTCATTGGTCTGGTAATTTTAGTGGCTTGTGATATGTATGTGGCAGTCATAAGTTTGCATGAGGCTTACAGTGGTTGAAACTACCCCGTTACCTTAGATTGATATCTTGTTATATTACCTATAGGACAGTGAATGCTTTGATTTTCCTTCCTTACCCATATTTTCACATGTTTATAAAATCCATCATTCCATTATGACTTCCATGATTTTGTAGCTTATGCCTTGGTTGTTTTATGTAACTGATGACTTTGTATGTAACGTAGATGAGAATAGATATTCATCCATTTTTCCTGATTAGATCTGTTGATGAATAGGGACCAGAATTTGCTATAAAAAAAAAATAATAATAATAAAAAAAATAAAAATAAAAAAAAAATAATAATAATGATAATAATTAAAGAAAAAATATATATCTATGACAAAATGTTCAAATAAGGCAGTCAAATTCAAACCTACAAGCAGGCACTTCACCTACATGCCTTGCTAGCCTCGCATATTTACAAAATGAACAAACACAACAATCAACACATCATTCACAGTGTTCATCTGATACAAACACCCACAAGGCAAGGTGCATTGTCATTTGTTCACTGGATTTAACCAAGAATTATTTAAACAAAAGTAAGAAAATGATAGAAATGAAAGAGGAGGAGTAGGAGTAGGAAGAAATAACATGAGGGAAATGGAAAATGTATTGAGTAGAAAATACTAATGGCCAGAGAAAAATCATGAAATAAGCTTAGAATCCAAAGATAAAATGGAACCACTACAGCAGTTGAGTAACTGTCCATATGATCTCAGAGTCCCTTTTAATATTTTTTTTTATAGATGATTGCCCTCCCTGCTAGTTATGAGTAGATTTGGGAATGGAAGAATTTTTACCTCTGAATATAACAGGAGAGTCCTATAGTAAACAGAACCTCGGTATTATTTATGGCATCGCAACTCTAATGATTTCATTTGATGATTTATTATTCTGAAAAGGGAGTTATGTGGATTCATTGGCCTTGGGTATTAGCCATTTTCCTTTTTTATTTATCAAGAATAGTTGGTGCCAAAAGTACATGTTAAAATGTCCCATCCTATGTGGTTTTGTTTTATCAGTTTTGTTTATGCATAGATGGTTTTACAAATGCCAAGTCATCAAGGAATCAGTGAGAAGGCCAGGAATTTTTAATTTTTGTTGCTGTTGATGTAGTTAATAATGTTATTTTGGCAATAGGAATATTATTAATAAAAAAATACATATATGTTTATTTATTTTTACTCTTAAAGCCTTCTATATGTAAACAAAATCAATAGAAAATCAAAGCAGGCAGTTTATGTACCGGACACCTTTTGGTTAATGATCAGACACTATGGTAATATTTTGATAAACCAAAAGATCAACATGAAATCACCAAACAGCCAATGAGAAACTAATTACAAACTCAAGGGTCAAATTAGTGACTGAGAATTTGGAAATACTATTGTAATTTTGCATTTGTCATATTCCCCCATGATGCTTCCTCACAAGGTTTAGAGTTGTGCATGGTAGTTTGGCACTGTCAATGGAACTATAATATCAAGAAATTCTGTTTACCCCACAGCACTAGCTGATATGCAATTTTTAATAGTAGCATCTGCAATCACATCATAAATTACAACACCTGCACATATGCACCAGTTTTTAGAGATTAGAAAGTAAAAGTGTACAGAGAATTAAAAAGAAATCACATTGCAGGCAAATAAAGTAATATTTGAATGATCTAGAGTAGTTTCAGCTTTTCTGTTTACCATAATTAGCAGAAGTAGTATAATAAAATTATAGTATGTTGATTAACAAGTTCTTACTAAGCTTTTTCATTTTTTGTATTTCTCGACTTTTTTGTAGCATTCATCCCTTTGCCGAAGTTGATATTCATTAACTGATTTTGAATAATGAGCAGCAGTATTTAGGCTTATTTATTCTCCTAAATTACCAAGAGTTTTTTATTTTTCTTGCCAGGTTGCTTGGGTGACACACTCGGGTCAGAGCAAAATGGCAGAACCAATTGCTATCAGGCCAACTTCGGAGACTATTATGTACCCTGCATATGCCAAATGGATCAAGTCGCACAGAGACCTGCCCATAAAACTGAATCAGTGGAATAATGTTGTGGTTAGTACGAGCAGATGCATGCATGCCTATATAGCTAACATCTCATGCGTTTATTTGCTTTTGCTTTTTTTCACTTGCAATAACAGTTGTGTGTTATGAATTTTTACAAAATTGTGAATTTAAGTTCATGTTGTTTTGTTTTTCTATAGTGTTTCAGAGCCCAGCTGTTTAATTTCTTGGTATTTTCAGAGATGGGAGTTTAAGCACCCGCAGCCTTTCATCAGGAACCGAGAATTTTTGTGGCAGGAAGGACATTCCGCATTTGCTACAAAAGCTGAAGCTGAAGAGGAGGTCTTGAAGATCTTAGATATCTATGCAAGGGTATTTATCATCTTATTTATCTTTATTTATTTAGTTATTATTTTTTTATTTTTTACTTTTTTATTTATTTATTTATTTATTTATTTATTTTTTTAAATAAGAATAAGTTTTTTGAGTTATCGGTGCATGGTGTTATGTATTATTAATCTGAAACAAGGTATGTAGAGAATAGGTTGCTAATGATAATTAAAATATTACGTCAGAGTATACTTAGGTCATGGTAGCCTGATGAATAAATACGTATCATCAAAATTTCTAGTTTGCAAATGAGATAAAACCAGTTAGCCAGGCTAAACATGATAGTGTGTTAAAACTTTAAAATTAAAAATCTCCACAGCAAAATTTATTAGTTTTTTTCAATCTTTTCTAGGTATATGAAGACCTCTTAGCCATTCCTGTGGTCAAAGGACGAAAGACGGAAAAAGAAAAATTTGCTGGAGGTGATTATACAACAACAGTTGAAGCATTCGTGCCCAGTAGTGGAAGAGGCATTCAGGGTGCCACATCGCATCATTTGGGCCAAAATTTCTCCAAGATGTTTGAGATTACTTTTGAAGATGCCAAGACTCTAGAGAAATCTTACGTGTACCAAAACTCCTGGGGGCTGTCTACACGACCCATTGGTGCGATGGTGATGATACACGGAGATGAGAAGGGGCTGGTTCTGCCACCAAGAGTTGCTGACGTGCAGGTATTTACTCAGGATTTTTTACGTTGATCTAGGATTGAGCTGAAGATGCTTGTAAATGGTCTACCTGAGGAAACACAGTATCAGAATGCATTGTCTTTATTCTGGTGTGGAGGTCATTATGAAAAATATCTTTCCTAATGATAAGATTTTTCACAGGTGGTGATTGTCCCCTGTGGTATTAATGCCAAGATGACTGACGAACAGAAGAATTCCTTATTTGATGGATGCAGCACCATAGAAAACACCCTAAAGGAGTTATCAATACGAGCAGAATGTGATCTGCGAGACAACTACAGTCCTGGCTGGAAGTTTAATCACTGGGAACTGAAAGTAAGTGACCAGAGTGATATTAGGTATTATCCGCACTTAACTAAAAATGTACATGATCTCTTTTGTGGATGCAACATTTGCGGGGTCCACACAATTTAAAACAATTGATGTCTTTATATAAATAGATGGTACAAGAAAACATTATCTATTGGAAAGACTACTCCTAAGTGTTATCTATGGATATTTAATACCCGTGTGTATACATACACATCTATTTATCTTGTTCATTTTAGCCTAAAGAAGCAATATAGGAAAAAGGCCTTCAGCATATTTGTGTGGTTTCTTGTTCCTTGCTTTGCTGTTTTGTGTAGTCTATGGATATGTTTATGCTGTTTTTATTCTGATATTTAACTATAACTTTAAACTTGATATTTACATTTACTTTTGAAGTTCACATAAAAGCTTTAAAGCCATTATTTATTATATTATATATGTAACTTTATTTGTCATGTCAAGATATTTATTTTGTACAGTTATGTAGTCTCATATTTTGTAAATGGGAAATGTATGCATTTCAGAAACAAGTAATTTGAGCATATGGACTCAGAATCAACTTTTTTGTGTGTGTTTGATCCTGATTTCATTTAAAAAGTAATTTAACAAATTCTTTATACATTTGCACTTTCATTAGGAGAAAAATGTAGCTACTAAATGTAATAGTGTCTAAGGAAATTACTTTTTCCTTTTCTTTTCTTTCTTATTTTCAGTCAGTAATAGATCATACTTTCTTAGATTAAAAAATATATATATATCTCTATGTATGAGGGGTTAAATAAAAAAAAATAATAATAAAAATAAAAAATATCTCCCTGAGGGGTTAAAATTGACTCAGGTTCTAATCATCACTTAACATTTTGCCTTCCAATTCATCCAAAAATGAATAATGTCTCTAATTATGTAGTATATATGGATATTCATATTTGTACTAATACAATATCATCTTTCCATGGTTCAGGACTCGTAGAGTATATATAGGATATGCTTTATTATTGACAGTTACCCTTTTTTCTTCTTGCTTATGTATAGTTCTATAAGGGGAAATTGTAATAGTTTCTCTGCTGTATCAAAATTGATCAAAATCTACTAGTAGTTTTTATATTTCTTGTTTTAAAACTTGGAACAAGTCTAAAACAAGTGAAACTAGATGTAATTGGTACTCTGTTTGATATTTAACTTTATTGAATCTATTTAATTGGTTAACTTTACTGAAATTATCTATTGCTTTACTTTACTGAATCTATTTAATATTAAACTTTACTGAATCTCAATTTGTGTTACAGGGAGTTCCCCTGCGGGTGGACGTTGGACCTCGCGACCTGGCCAAGAAAGAAGTTGTGGCTGTGCGAAGGGACACAGGAGAGAAGCTTACCCTACCTCTTGCCAACTTAGCTGATAAAATCAAAAGCTTATTGGATGAAATTCACACCAGTCTGTTGTCCAAGGCGAAAGAAGAATTAGAGTCTCACAAGAAATTAGTAAGTAGAACTACAAGTTGATTTTTAGTCATATGAACTGCATCTATATGTAGATTAGGTATAATCTGCATATATCTAAAAATGTACGTGATCTCTTTTGTGGATGCAACATTTGAGTGAAGTCCACACACTTTAAAACAATTGATGTCTTTATATGAATATATGACACAAGAAAACATTATCTATTGGAAAGACTACTCTTTCTACTAATCTATGTTTATTAGAAAACTTGATTCAAGAGAGACTGCAATCTTTCAGGTACACAGCTGGGAGGAATTCACAAATAACCTTGACGAGAAAAACATAATGCTGGCCCCATTCTGTGGAGCTGAAGCATGCGAGGACGTCATAAAGAAGGAATCAGCACAAGAAGAAGTGGCTGGAGCAAAAGGTCCAAGCATGGGGGCCAAGAGTCTGTGCATTCCTTTTGAACAACCAGCCGATGCCACAGGCAAAATTTGCATCCATCCAAAGTGCGAGCAGCCTGCGAAGTTCTACACGCTTTTTGGGAGAAGTTACTGAGCAAAGATGGGATTGTTGGCTACAAATCAAAAAAAAAAAGTTTTAATATAAATATATGTATATGCATACATGTATGTGTATATATATATTAGATTTTCATTTATATATTTTTTCTGTTATAATGATTATTATTATTATTATTATTATTTATTATTATTATTATTATTATTATTAGACTTCAACTATTTATAGTGCCTTATTCATGCCTTTTTTGTGGTTGGATTATACAGTTGTCATTCTTGCTGCTGATTTGTAATGACACTGAATGAAAGAACTTGTTTTGGGTCACTAAATGTAACAATATTTTTAATTTAAATCCCAATGTTTGCTTTTTACTTAAAGGTCATGATCTCCAGATTGTGGCTATTATTAAAATAATATTATTTTCAAAAATGGCACACGTACACACACATACACAGATGCACACACATGCATGCACACACACACATTATGATACTCATACACAGACATACATTTACATTGATATTTTTTAATTAATTTTAACTCAGTGCCAACTGGAAAATTCTGTTCACTGCAGCTTTCATTTGTGAAATGTCTCTACACATAGATAGCTCCATGTTCTCAGCCACCAAAGAGTCGATCCGTATACTTCGTGACCTCCCTTGATTTCCCCTTTGCAAGAGTTTTCAGGATTTTTTCTTTATTTTTACCAAAGCTATTAATATTGGATTAAGTACTTGAGGAGCCATCTATGTGTAAAGATAATCAATAAAATATATTCAGAGTTTACTATTCCTAGCAACTTTGGGTTAATTCTTCATGGTAATTACCTGGATTTTAGTATTAATTTTACCAGTATACTTAATTATAGTGTAGGTACGAGAAAGGGAAAACAGATTAGGAAGAGTGTATTTGATATGTTTTTGACTTCTTGCCCACTGGCTCTGCAGATTATCAGCCAGTTTGTTAAAATTGTGCAAGGCCCAACCCAATGAACACTTGGTATACGGACATAAATGTATACTGAAATAAATGCATATCCATCAGTCTAGACATGTATATCTACTGTATAGATAAAGAAAATGTATATATATCTGATATATAAACAGATATGCATTTATTTCTGTGTATATGCTTGTCTGTAGATACAAATATTTTATTGGGTCGTGTCTTGCTCAGTTTTAACAAACCAGTAGTAGGACCAGAGTTTATTTCTACTTTCTAATTTAATTCTTCTTTGTCTATTTTTTTTCCCTCATCTTTTAATTCTTTTTCCTTTTCCAAATTTTTCTTTCTTCTTTTTCTTTTCCTTTTAACTTCTTTTTTCTTATTCTTTTCTTTCTCCTTCTCTTCCTTTTCCTTTTGTTTCTTTCTTCTTATTCTTCTTATTCTTCCTTTGATTTATAATCCAGATTTATTTTTTTACATTTCCTAGTTAGTTATAGTAAAGGTCAGCACATTAGCAGGTCTTATATGACAGATGTGAATTTGTAAGATATGAGCATTTAAGATATAATTATTTCCATTATCCTGTTTCATATGATCTAATATTTCATACTAGATACTGTTATGTAACTTATTTGTATGTAAAATACCACATCTGTTATTTTTCATGTTGATTATTTGTTAAGAGAGTGTAACATTTGTTAAGGTTTAAGTGTTATGGCCAGTTTGATTAAAATGTTCCTTAATATGAATAAAAAAAAAATAATTATTTTATTAAATAAAGTCTGAAAATAAGCATTTTCTTTCTCCTAAATTGAATTCTATTATCAAAAGGCTTATGGTATTCTGTTTCTTTCTGATATGGAAGTTTTGCCTGATTAGTGTTATCTAACACA